AAAGGTCAACTAAAAGCATTGTTTCTAGAACATGAGGTATGGTAGGAAAATGTTTTTTGTGAATTTTAATAGCATGTTTTTTAAGAGACAGTGTCTTGCTCTGTCACTTAGGCTTGAGTTCAGTGGCACGATGATGGCTTACTGCAACCTCTTCCTCCTAGGCTCAGCAATCCTCCCACCTCAGCCTCCCAAGTAGCTGGGACCACAGGCGTGCACCACTATGCCCAGCTAATTTATTTTTATTAATATTTTTTGTAGAGACAGGATCTGTCTTTGTTGCCCAGGCTGGTCTGGAACTCCTGGCCTCAAGCAATCCTTTAGAAGTGTGAGCCACCGTGCCCAGCCTTAGGTAGAATATTGGTTCCTTCACTTCAGTTTCAGTTGTGGGAAAGAGAATTATAATAACCTGCTAAGCACCCCCAAATTTTTTAGTATTCATTTACTACATGCAGTTAAATTCTGATCTGAGCAATTATCAGTCCACATAATGTTTTGGATTAACTTAACTTGAATCATTTTGTGATCAAAGTCAAATGGCTGTATCATTACAAATTAGTAACACAGATTCAAATTATTCTGCTCTTAAAAGCTTCCCTGTCTCATTGTCACTGCTCACACAATACAAATCAGAATGGTGTGCCCTTGTGCAGTTCCACATGGCGTGCCGTGTGAGTGTCAGGCACAGGCAGAGGAAGTTAGTTTGTTTATTAAGTAAAGGGGAGAGGGTGCAGAATTGCTATTACAGTCCTGGAAGCTTTAGTGTCTAAAGGCCACACTTTTAGAATACATATTTCAGTGTGAGCCTATAGTCCCAACTAAAGAGGCTGAGATGGGGGGACCACTTGAGCCCAGGAATTCAAGGCCAGCCTGTGCAAAATAGTGAGACCATGTCTCTAAAAATAATAATAATAAATAAAAATACATATTTCAAAGCTGTGTAGATATCAAGAATACAGATTCAGAAGATTTTTTATAATAGCTAACAACGCAGAAATTGGTAGGTTTCCAAATATTATTAAACAGATAGATTGTGCATAGTTGTGTGTTCTCAAGTGGTTAATATTATATGCTAATTTAAAAGCTGCACTACATAACAGTTATTTTTAAATTATACAGGGATACTTTGGAGCAGTTGGTGCACTTCTTGGGCTGCCAAATTTCAGCTAAAGCATCAGGTCTCTCTCTCTGCTAATAAATGTCATCCAAGAGGAACTAAAACCAGAGGCGTTATTACTGCATTGTTTGTCACTGGGAACCAAAGGATAGAAGAGTAGCATAAGCTGCTGAATGTTGCCATATTAAAGGAGAGAACTTGGTAACGTGAAGTATTTCTCATTGAAATGCTTTCCCTTTTGTATATAGCCAGTGTTAAATCCTTAAATGCAATACAGCCTCTGATTATTGAGCTTCCTCTTAAAAAGATTTTTAAATTTTATGTAGCCAACATTGCAGTACTGTATGCTCAAACAAAAATCTTAAAGTCTCGGAAATGTTTAGCTTATGAAAATAATCGACTCTGAATATTTGTTACAAGTCTGTTTTATGTTTTGATTACTAGTGAGCAGAAAATAACATACCCTGTATCCAAAATTATTGAAATGGTAATCAAAGATGATCATTTTTATGTGATTTTAGAAATGTTAAGGCAATACTACTAATTATTGTAGGTTTTTTTTTTTTTAAACATATCACCCAAAGCATGTATGTGATCTTTCCCCATAAGTATCTTTTCTCAAATGCCATAATTAGCTGAAATACTATTATTAAATTTTCATGAGAATTCTGAAATGAATCCTGGGAAATGCACATTTGGTGATGTTGCACTTTCTGTATTTTACAGGAATTAGTCAGTACACGTTGAAATGTTTAACATTTTAAGATTGGAGGCTTAATTACTGGGAGTCGGTCTAATGAAGTCCTGGGACTATTGTAATGGATATGATTTGAGTTCACTGTGCTCTTTTTTGTTTGTTTGTTTTGATCATATGTACATTAGGAGCTTTTATTTTAAAACAACCACAGTAACATTAATAATAGAAAAATCATATGGAAATATTCACAGTCTAGTCACTGAAAAATGGGAAAACCTCTACCATGCCTTATTATCACCCTTCGCTGTTTGAGGAGCCAGAAATAGAGGTGCAGTTAGAGAAAGGTCATCTTTTCCAGCAAAACTCACTCCATAGACATGTGGATTTTTATCCAAAGGCTCAACCACCAGAGGGAATGGTGAAACTGATAACTAAAATACTGTTACTGGCAAGGGTTTGAAATGTGTAAGAACCTAGGAGGGAAAGGAAGATTGAGCAACATAGGAAAAGGGGAAGAGAGGCTGTCACCAAGGTCCAATCTCCATTTATTAAAATAGTGCAAAACCAGGAGTTGATTATAAAAGCGCCCATGATCCATGGCAGGAATAAATCCCTTCACCTCCTCTAACTCTATGAAAACTCTAGAGTTGGAGCAAGTCTTCCATTTGCTTCTTATCCCCTTAAAATAATGCCTTCCACTCCCCCACAGCCCCCATCAAAGGAACCCCCGCAAGAGGCCACCATGCTCTGATCTCACTCTTTCCTATTCCCCTTGCCTGAATCTGGAGTGGGGTTGAGCCCTCTGCCCTCATCCTTAAGATTTAGGAAGTTCTTTCCCCAGCTGTCTAACTTGGAAAGGTAGATGAGTCTGAATTTTGAAGTTCCGAATGCAAATTCCACTCAGCAGACGCAGTGTTACTTATGTACATAGGAATAGTGGGATGAGTTTTAATAGATTCTATCCAAAAGGGTTTTTTTCCTCTTACTTCCTCTATGTGGGAAGATGTGTCTTGGGCAACTTTATCAGTATCAATGGAAAAATGATAGGCACTACAATGAAATGGCAGGATGCCAATATGAGATCTTTCAGGAATAATAAGAAATACAGTTTGTTTGTATAAAATAAACTAGCTCAAATAAGAAAGTTTTTCAAGGACACTGATAGTGTTCATTTGTAAGAGGTAGTTCTAGAACCACACTGTCCAGTACAGCAGCTACTACCTATATGTAGCTGTTGAGCATTTGAAATGTGGTTAGTCTGAATTGAAATGTGCTCTTAAGTGTAAAATATACACTGGTTTTTGAAGACTAGGGACAATAAAAGGTTAAATATCTCCTAATTTTTTGTATTGATTACATGTTGAAATGTTAACATTGGAAATGTTGGGTTAAAGAAAAATATACAATTAAAATGAATCTTAGCCGGGCGTGGTGGCTCACACCTGTAATCCCAGCACTTTGAGAGGCCAAGATGGGTGGGTCACCTGAGGTCAGGAGTTCGAGACCAGCCTGGCCAGCATGGCAAAACCCTGTTTCTACTAAAAATACAAAAATTAGCCAGGCGTGGTGGTGTATACCTGTAGTCCCAGCTACTCAGAAGGCTGAGGCAGAAGAATCGCTTGAACCCAGGAGGCGGAGGCTGCAGTGAGCTGAGATTGTGCCACTGCACTCCAGCCTGGGCAACAGTGTGAGATTCTTATCTCAAAAAAACAAAAAAACAAAAAAAAAAACTTCTGTTTCCAGTTTTTTTTAATGTGCTTACTAGAAAAGATAAAATCGCACATGGTTCACATTTTATTTCTACTAAGACAGCACCGTTAAGAACATAGAGCTTTGAGGCATTGTGGTATTAGAATCAAATCTATTTACCACAGTAAGCTTACAGGGAGTTACTTGAGATCTTAATAAAAAATTATTATCTTTGTCAGCCTTCATTATGATTTTGTGTTCTTATTATTCCAGTAATTCTAGACTACATATGGGAAAAGCTAAGAGCCACAGTGGTGAGATGGTTGCTCACTTTACGTGCACTTTAGCAGGTAATTTCAGTTTGAAAGGACAAATTATATGAATCATAGTTCCACATTAACCGAAGTACAGTGATGAAATAACTTAGACTCTGACCATTCTATTTTTCCTTCAAGATTGCCCTAAATCTATAGATGCTAATACAGTATTTGCCACAGGTATAAAACTTGTAGTTACTATCATTCAATTAAGATTCTTATCTGTACAGATATACAAATCAGAAACTTTTAAAATAAATTGAACTAATGGAATTTTGGCTTAAATATTTAGTCACTACAATGGAAGCATTAAAGCAAGGAATACGAAGTCATTGTAGGGTTTTAAAATGGCTACTGACTGACATGAATTCAAAGTTTCAATCTAAATTCTAAAAACTTACCTTTACATGCTTTTCCTCCTAAATAACCACTCTTATAATTCATACATTCATGTCTTTAGGTGAAGAAAACTGAATTTTAAACACTTGAGGCTGGGTGCAGTGGCTTATGCCTGTAATCAAATGTAAGAACTTGAGTGTAAAGTTCGAAAACTACATGGGGAAATGTCTTTATCATGCATCTCTGAGTCTACTGAAAACTCTGTTAAGTAAAACTGTGGTTTGTAAAAAAAAAAAAAAAACAAAAAACAAAAAAACTAGTGATACTTACCTTGTATAATGTAAACAGTTTTTTAAGCTCTTTAAACAAAGTACATCTAGATTTACTGGTAATGTATAGAAGTCAGTTTTATCCCCAAGTATCTCTGCTTCCTAAACCATTAATTAACAAGAGACTCAAACAACTTCACTAAACTATTGGACCTCCAGTGTTAACTTGCCAACATAAAAATCTGAAAAACTTTGTAATCACTGTCAAAAATACAAAAGAGAGAATAAATTCTTGGGTAAAAGGATTTACAAATTTTGTAACTATTATGCTTTTGTTTACTAAACATTGATCCTTGTAGTAATTCTGCAGTATTGCCTCAGACTCCCATAAAGTTTCAAAACAGCTCATCTATTAGATTCCTGTAGCATTTATTTGGGATAAATGTGGTTTTGTTGCTGTTATTCATAATGGAATAAAATATTTAGCTTTGATGGTTCAGATGTAATAAAAAGAAATAACTAAGTTTGGGCCTGAGATAAATGTGGTAAGGCAAGAACGCAGAGATGCTGTAATGATGCGTGAGTTTTAGAGCATTACTGAGGACCTGAAAACTTGCTCCCAAAGACACTTTGAAGGTTTTGTTGACTGGAAGAAATGGCTCTGGAATCCCACTCCTAACTCTTTTCTTGAATATTTGAAAAGAATTAGATAAGGGCCATGGGGACCCAGGTCACCCCACCTCTTCTCTTCAGTTTGGCTACAACATTGGAGTCATCAGTGCTCCTGAGACAATCATATAGGACTTTCTCAATTACACTTTGAAAGAGAGGTTAGAAGACTCCCTCTCTGAGGTGTTGCTCGTGTCCCCCGGCCCTTGTCTGTGGCCATCTTCCCCAATGGTGATATGATTGACTCCTTTCTGTTGCACTCTTTGTCAACCACTTTGGCAGGTGCAATTCAATGCTTATCATCAATTTGTTGGCTATCAGTGGTTGCCTTACGGGATTCTGCAACAAAGCTGAGTTGGTTGAAATGCTGATCCTGGGCCACTTGGTTACTGGCTTGTAATGCGGACTCTGCACAGGTTTTGTGCCCATGTACATTGGAGAGATCTCATCTACTGCCTTTTGGGGTACCTTTAGTGCTCTCACCCAGCTGGGCATCATTGTTGGTATTCTGGAGATCCAGATCTTTGGTCTGGAGTTCATCTTGGGGTCTGAAGAGCTATGCCCAGTGATACTGGGCTTTACCATCCTTCCAGCTGTCCTATAAAGTGTAGCCCTTCCATTTTGCCCTGAAAGTCATAAGTTTTTGCTCATTAACAGAAAGGAAGAGTACTAATGAGATCCTTCGGCAATTGTAGGGGACTCAGGATGTGTCCCAGGACATCCAGGAGATAAGAGTGCTAGGATGGTACAAGAAAAGCAAGTCACTACACTGGCGCTCTTTAGAATACGCAGCTACCAACAACCCACTGTCTTTTCCATCATGTTCCAGCTCTCTCAGTAGCTCTCTGGAATCAGTGTTGTCTTCCGTTTCTCAATGAGAATCTTCAAGGATTTGCAGGTGTTGAGAAGCCAATCTAGAGATTAGTGCAGGAGTGGTTCGTATCTTCTTGACTGTAGTCTCTGTTTCTGGTTGAAAGGGCAGGAAGGACTTTACATATGATAGGTCTTGGAGGGATGGCGTTTTGTTCTGTCCTCATGATTGTTTGTTATTAAAGGATGAGTATGGTGGGATGAACTTTGTAGTGGGGCTGTCTTGGTCTTTGTGGCCTTCTCTGGAGATGGACCAGGCCCCATTCTCTGGTATACTGTGGCCACACTCTTCAGTTTGCGATAGCAGTGGCTGGTTGCTCCAACTGGACCTCCAATTTTCTAGTTGGATTGCTCTTCCTGAACAATGATTATCTAGTTTAAGTGTGTTGTTGCTTTAGGGTCATGGCATGCTTATGTATGTCTATTACCATCTGACCATGGTACTATGCCGAGTTCTCTTAGGAGCCCTGAATCTTTCCAGTAGATCACATTTGAGATAGTATGAGTCCACTGGGCACAGTTCCCAACAGTCCAAACATACATACTTCACTGAAGCAGATCTAATGATTCCATTGACTTCATTTCTAAAATCGGACTTTGAGGGGCCAATTTCTAAGGATTAAAAAGAAACTTTAATGCATTGTAGACCTCTGTACCCAGAAAATCTTTGTAACTTTTGGGCTTAATTTTCCTTCTTAAAAAATCTGGTAACTTTTTCAAATGCGAGGAGCACTGTCAGTTTGCTGTGAGGCTAGGCATAGAACACAAGATATAGAATCTCCCATCACCACCACCCTGCCCCTGCGAGAAGATTGCCTTTTAATTAGAGAGTTTTAAAACTAGTGCTTTTTAAGTTCTACGCTCATCTTTTCCAAAGACTAAGTCTATTAGTAAACTTGCCATGCAATTTGACATGGCAGTTCCTTGCTCAACTACCCTAAATAAGTTGGAAATTAGGTGGTATCTTAGTTTGGGTAAAGTCAGTGCTATTGCCTGTAATACACTTGGTAATTAAAAGCCCTTCAAGTGGTTCAGATTATTTGCCAAATATTAGACTGTATAAAAACTTCTGAGATTTTGTTTTGTTTTTTACCTTTGAGTGTACATGTGATTGCTATAATGTAAATACCAGTTCCTGAAAGATTGTTTCTGTAAGCAGAATGATGTAGCACAAAGTGAAAAGGTTTTCCTCTTATTCCAGCAGTATTCTTGCCTTCAAAGAGTAGTCCATTACATATTGCCTTGATTTTTAAGGTTGTGTTTTTGGATGAAAAGCTTAACTGGATAGTAATTTCCATATGTTCTTTATAACCACTCTGTATATTATAAGCAAAATTTTTTCATATTTCATTGTATCTTTTTCTATTGAGCACTTTATGCATTTTAGTCTATTGCATTTGAGAATGTAGTTTAGAAATTCTTTCACTTTTTAAAGCCATGTGAAAACTGATAGAGGATAATGAAAATGAGTGTACATTATTTTGAATTTAACTGTTTTGTGGTGTGTGTAAACAAAAAATTAGAAATATATTGTCTTTTTGTAGTAATACTCTGACCTCACTTAAAGTGATCTGCCATGAAGTATCAATGATCAAGTTTATGTTTATTCAGATACCTAAGGAATTCAGCCAACTTTGTTTCAATCATCAGATAATCTCAGAAAATAATGTGTTTTATTTATATTACTGCCTCTTGTCAATATTTAAGAGAATAATTATCTTCTGGTTTCTACTGAGCCTAGTAATAATCACTGAAGACCTAAAAAAGTGAGTAATTCTTTCCTTCTGTTAAGAGTATTTGGATAGCCCCTTCACGATAATGGTGGTGTGAAAATGAATCATCCCAGCTTTTCTGACATATCTAAATTTTGAATAATTAATTTCCACTTCCAAACAGTCTAAATGTTTTCTTAAAGCAGTCACTACTATTTGCATTAGTCCTGTATATTCAGTGAATGTGAGGTCATATTTGGTATTGTATTAGAAGTAGTGTTGGTCACTGGTCTTGCCTCTTTGAACATTATTTGGTTTGTTATGATAGAAAATGAGTCAGTTTTCAGGGTCATGGCCGTGTTTGGGATAACTAAATTAATTTTTTTTTTCAGGTGTTTGGTGTCATGTTTTGGAGTTAATATTTAGTGCTTATATAATTTTAAGTTATTACATAATTTTTATTGTTATATGTTTTGTAGGTACTAGGTATTGGATTCTCACCAAACCAGTAGAATGGCATTCTCTCTTAATATGTCATTGCCTGTAATGGCCAGGTAGATATACCTTAAAGTAATATGAAAGGTTTTATATGTAAATTAAAATGTTTGTACTTTTAAATCTGTAAAGGTTATCTGGAATTTTTACTATGTTAACTTCAGAATTATATGGGCATTACGACTTTTTCATTGTACAAAAAAAAAAATTATTCATAAATGTTGGAATACAGATGTTCCTTGACTTATGATAGGGTTATGTTCCAGTAGACCCATTGTAAATTGAAAATACTGTTAGTTGAAAATACATTTAATATGCCTAACCTACTGAATATCCCAGCTTAGCCTAGCCTACCTTAAATGTGTTCAGAACACTTAATGTTGGCCTGTAGCTGGGCAAAATCATCTAATACAAAACCTATTTTATAATGAAATATTTAATATCTCAAATAAGAGTATTATACCACATATCGTTAGCCCAGGATAATATCAAAAGATGAAATTTGAAGTACAGTTTTTACTGAATATGTATTGCTTTTGCCCCATTATAAAGTTGAAAAACCATAAGTCAAACCATTGTTAAGTCATACTGTTTGTGTTACATATATTTGGGATTTTTTAGTGACCCTTTTTAAAAAGCTATTTCTTATTTCTGATCATTGTGAGTGGGGATAGATATGGGAAGAACCACGTCTCTACTAAAAATAAAAAAAATACCCCAGCTTGTTGGCACACACCTGTAGTCCCAGCTACTCGGGAGGCTGAGGCAGGAGAATCACTTGAATCGGGAGGCAGAGGGCAGATATGCCACTGTACTCCAGCCTGGGCAACAGAGTAAGACTCTGTCTCAAACATGAATGAATGAATGAATGAATGAATGAATGAATGAATGAATGAACGAACGAACTATTAGCTGATACTGGGATTTCAGGTACCACAGTTCCTGCTGAAAGATATGTTTGGGGTAAATCAATTTTTTTTCTTGTAGAATTTCAGTGTTTTTGCTGCAACTGCCACTAATTTTGCGTTTAAAAGAACAAAAGAGGAATGTATTTTTCAAAGGAGTGAATGAGGTTAAAATCAAGATTTTGAATGGTATAAATATGCAACTAATTCAATTGTAGGATATTATTAAATTTTGTATTTCTAAACATCTTTCTTTCATACATCTCAGTGCTTACAGTTCCAATAGCTTTCCAAGAAAACATTTCCATGTTTGCATAATTTGTAAAGTATATATAAATAATGTAAAATAATTTGGGATTATCTCAACTTTATATTGTATGTCTGAATTTCATCCATGTCATACCTGGCTCAGTCAATAGTCGTCACAGGTATTAAGCCATTTTGGAATTTGCCACTTTTTTCTGTGGAACCTGTTTTAGTTTAGTTTACAGCATTTAGAAATAGAAGGTAACTTTATAGAAGTAACACCAATATCCTAGTCTGCTTGTCCCGAATACAATTAATAGTATTAGGATGTAAGTGATATTAAGATGGTTTTTATTATTTTTTTGTACACTGTACTTTTACTTTTTTTTTAAACTACAGCTAAAAGCTGACTTTTTAACTAAAATTGAATGGCATTTATCTTAATGACCAGTTATTGACCAAATCGTACTCAGAAGATGTTGTTATGTCCCAGTCTAAGGAATCCTTTAATTTGGGGATTAATTTGACTTCCACATGCCATTTCAGTGTAAATTGCCTTATTCTGTCTATTACATTATTCTTGTCAAGTCTAAGCTTTATCATGTCTGAATTCTTTTAACACTGAATCTGTGATGTAAAAATGTATGATGTGCTACAAATTTTATTCCTAATAAACTAAGTTATAGCCTGTTGTAATCTGTAAAACATTTCTTGTAAATTACCTAATTTATTTTTTCATTCATGTACAGTTTCTTATGTAAATTTGAAAAATGTTTGCCATGGCACATTCTGTAAACATTCCCGTATTCTTTTCCTTAATGCTTATTTGCATGAAGGTAACTTGGGTTTTGCTTGTTTGTGTTGGATAACCATTAAGCCAACTTCAGTATCTCTGCCTTTTTTCTTGTAGTTTAACTGTTTCTAATTTTGTTCATATTCTAAATAGATGTTAGAATCATACTTTTTATTTTCTACTTAATAAATTACCTAAGTTGTTTACTATGTGTCCCTTTATTATTTACCTTACATATTCCCACATTTTCACTTCGATTACATGCACGGTTGTGGTTAATTCCGTGAGAGCAAGAACTTTGTAAAGTCTTGTTCACCTCTAGATTCCCAGTGGCACAGAGAAGGCACTGATGACATTTAAGATTTGCATTTATTAAGATGTGAAAACTTTCCCCCGCCGAGGCCATGTTATCCCGCATCAGAAACGAATGTTGTTGGCTTTTTGGTTTTGGGTTTGTTTGTTTGTTTGTTTTTTGAGATAGTCTCTTTGTTGACTGAGCTGGTGTGTAGTGGTGCAGTCATGGCTCACTACAGCCTCAGCCTCCCAACTAACTGAGACTACAGGCATGCACCACCATGCCTGGCTAGGGTTTTGTTTGTTGGTTAGGTGTTTGTTTCGTTTTGTGTGTGTGTGGGGGGGGTGTGTGTGTGTGTAAATGGGGTTTCGCCATGTTGCCCAGGCTGTTCTCAAACTCCTGGGCTCAAGTGATCCACCACCTTGGCATCTCAGTGCTGGGATTTCAGGCTTTGTGGAGTATGTGAGATGTTTTGATACAGGCGTGCATGTGAAATAAGCACATCATAGAGAATGGGGTATCCGTCCGGCCTGTTAAGTTTGTTTAAAAAAATCAACTTAATACGTGAGGCAGTAAGTCGGAAACTTGACGACTGTGTTTGCAAATTGTATGATTGTCGTGGCTCCAGGCAGAGTTTTCAGATCATAGTGTCTTTTCTTGGAGTGTATAGGAATGGTTGAAAACATGAACATGACTACCATGTGACCTGTGAAGTACATATCCTTTATTAAAAAAAACTAGCAAGAACTAGGATGAAAAAAATCTAAGATCTGGACTAAAGGAGAACATGATGCAGTATGGATGAGATTTGAAATGTAGTTTAGCTACTCAAATGTAGAAGTACTGCTTCCACAAGCACTTAGAAATAAGCTCCTAAAGAGCAAACATTCAAGGCTACACACTTAAGTCTTTCATTTAAATAAACTTTCCAAAGAGGGAAAAGTCTGTACTGGAGTCAATACACAGTGCTATATGAATTTTAAAAGTGGCCAGGAGCAGTAGCTCACACTTATAATTCCAGCACTTTGGGGAACCGAGGCAGGTGGATCACTTGAGGCCAGGAATTCAAGACCAACCTGGCCAATGTGGCAAAACCTCATATTTACTAAAATTACAAAAGTTAGTTGGGTGTGGTGGCGCACACCTGTAGTTCCAGCTACTCGGGAGGCTAAGGCATGAGAGTTGCTTGAACCTGAGAGGTGGAGGTTGCAGTGAGCCAAGATCGCACCACTGCTCTCCAACCTGGGCGACAGAGCGAGACTCTGTCTCAAAAAAAAAAATAAACTTTGAAAGCAGGATGTCTACTTTCTATGATATAGTCCTTAATGAGTGTATTGTGTATTGAACAAACATTATTATTTCTGCATCTAGAATCTATTGATCATTTTCTATGGTAATACTTTATAAGTTCCCATTTTAAGATACACGTCTGGTTTTGGTGGGTGGAGAGGAGTTTAAGATTTGACTTTTTCCCGAAGTAAACCTGGAAAACCTGACTAGCTCCTGAAACTTTACATCCTTTTCATAGAAAATTGGTACTTTTGGATAGTTTTTAATGTTACCCAGAGGTTAGCAATATCCCAGAAGTGCAGTTGACCACATGTTTAGGTAAGTAAGTGCTCATCCCCAGCCAGGGTTTTAAACATAATATTCAGTTTCTGGGAACGGTAGCAAAAATTACCAAAACTATGAAGGCATATTCTTTTTGATTTAAGCCCATTTTGCTCATTTTCTTCTAGCAAGAGTTTGGAGTCCAGCTACCCCAGATTTCTTTGAAAACAAAAAACACAAAACATTAAATGATACCACTAAAAGAATTCAAGCACCTGGCCGGGCGTGGTGGCTGATGCCTGTAATCCCAACACTTTGGGAGGCCAAGGTGGGTGGATCACGAGGTCAGGAGATGGAGACCGTCCTGGCTAACACAGTGAAACCCCATCTCTACTAAAAATACAAAAAATTGAGCTGGGCGTCGTGGCGGGCACCTGTAGTCCCAGCTACTGGGGAGGCTGAGGCGGGAGAATGGTGTGAACCCAGGAGGCGGAGCTTGCAGTGAGCTGAGATTGCGCCACTGCACTCCAGCCTGGGTGGGTGACAGGGTGAGACTCCCTCTCAAAAAAAAAAAACAAGCACCTGAACTTGAAAAAAGTAACTTGGCCCTCCGTATCTGAGTTCCACATCGATGGATTCAGCCAACTGTGGCTTGAAAATATTTGAAAGAAAACATAATACAACAGTAAAAGTAATATATGGGAGCTTGGTGAGAACATGTGAACACAAAGAGGGGAATGACAGAAACTGGGGCCTACTTGAGGGTGGAAGCTGGGAAGAGGGAGAGAATCAGAAAAATATCTATTGAGTGCTAGGCCTAGTAGCTGGGTGATGAAATAGTCTGTACAGTAAACCCCTGTGACATGAGTTAATCTGTATAACCTGCACATGTACCCTGGAATCTAAAATAAAAGTTTAATGCAAATAAAAAATACAGTATAACAACTATTTGCAATGTGTTAGGTATTATACATAAGGATAATTTAAAGTATATGGGAGTTCCCTAGCAAGCAGACTCAGAAGGAAAAAAAAAGCATGTAGGAGGATGTGTAGGTAATATGCAAATATTATGCCACTTTATATAACAGACTTGAGCATTCATGAATTTTGGTATCTGCAGAAGTTCCTGGAACCAATCTTCCATGGATAGAGAGACAATTGCGTGTTACATAGCAGCTTTTTTAGTTGTCTCATTTTAACAGTTTGAATAAAATACTCTGACACCTTGTGTTTTCAGATTTCCTAAAGCACCTTTGCAGGTTTTCGGGACAACCGTTTATTCAGAAATGATTCAGTGAATTTGTAATTAATCTTGCTGATTTTGGTTTAGTTTTGGGTTTGGACCTATTTGTAATCAATTTTATTGAGGTATGACTTATACAATAATAGTCTAACTGTACATTTAAATAAGTTTGATAAATGTGTACATCCATGTAACCACCACTCCAAGGTATTTGCATCATTCCAAAAAGTTCCCTTGGCCTCCATCCTAGTCAGTCCCCTCCAATCCCCATCCCTAAGCACCCACTGATTCGCTCTAGATAAAATTTGTCTTTTCTAGAGTTTTTATGTAGATATGTAGACTACATAAAAAGTCTTACGTAGACTAAAGTTTGTCTTTTCTGGAGTTTTTATGTAAATGGACCAATACAGTAGATACTCCCAATCTCTCTTTCTCTCCCAGCCCTAGACTTCATAGAGCTACTGTCTACTTTCTGTCCATATAGATATAGATTTGCTGTGGTATGTACTCTGGTGTCTGCTTCCTCTCAGCATAATGGTTTTGAGGTTAATCCATATTGTATCCGTACTGCACTCCTTTTGCTCATTAATAGTCCTTTGGATGAATATACTACAATTTGTTTATCCATTTGCTTGTATATTTACATACAAGTCTTTAGGTGGACCTGTGTTTTTATCTGGGATAAATAGTGAAATTGCTGTATTGTATGGTAACTGTAAGAAACTGGAAAACAGTTTCCAAGAGGTTCCATTTTACATTCCCTCCAGCAGTGTCTGAGAGTTCCACTTGCTCTGTATCCATGAGTATTGTCCATCTTTTAAATTGTGGCCATTCTTACTTGTGTGACATATTGTCTGTTTGTGGTTTTAATTTGTGTCTCCTTGATTACTGATGACATTGAGCATCTTTTCAGATCCTTATTGGCCTTTCATATATATCTTTTATAAAGGCAAAATCTTTTGCCCATTTTTCATTGAGTTGTCTTGTTACTGACTTGTAGAGTTCTTCATATATTCTAGTTAGAAGTCCTTCGTTGGATATATATTTGAATAGTTTCTCCAAATTTATGGCTTATCTGTTTATTTTCTTAATACTATTTTGAGGAACAGAGCTTCATCTTGTTGAAGTCCAGCTTCTTATGCTCATCCTTTTTGTGTCCTAAGAAATCTTTGCCTAATCAAGATCATGGATATTTTCTCCTGTTTTATTCTAGACAATTTGTAGTTTTAATTTTTATCTTTCAGCCTATAATCATCAATCTTTGTGTATGATATGAGGTAAGGGATCAGGGGTTTTTTTTGCATATGGATTTACAGTTGTTTCAGTATCATTTGTTGAAAGTATCCTTTCTTTTTGGTTGTGTGGGTCCAAGAGCTGGAGGAAGACAGGGAGGAAACTTGTGCGTGTGGTGGATATATTCAGTATTTTCACTGTGATACTTTCACATGGGTGGGTACAAATAGCAGAACTCATCAAATTGTCTTTTTTTTTTTCTTTTTCTCTGTGGCCCAGGCTGGAGTGCGATCTCAGCTCACTGCAATCTCCACCTCCCAGGTTCAAGCAATTCTTGTGCCTCAGCCTCCCAAGTAGCTGGGATTACAGGTACCCGCCACCAAGCCTGGCTAATTTTTGTATTTTTAGTAGATACAGGATTTTACCATGTTGGTCAGGCTGTCTCAAACTCTCGAACTCAGGTGATCCGCCCACCTCAGCCTCCCAAAGTGTTGGGATTATAGGCATGAGCCACTGCGCCCAGCCCAAATTGTCTTTTAAATATGTGTGGTGTATTGTACATTGATTATAACTCAATAAAGCTCTTCTAAAAAGATACAAAATAAACATTTATACTTGTGTCAACAAATTCAATTCTCTTTTGACCCTGATTATGAAATTTATGATTTGACCCATTCTGGGCAAGCAAGTCAAACTAAATTATTGACATTCTGTTTTTTCTTGGGTTCATTTCCAATATGCTATTTTGTTTATATATTTATAGACAAAGTCTCCCTCTGTCGCCCAGGATGGAGTGCTGTGGTGCGATCTCAGCTCACTGCTACCTCCGCCTCCGTGGTTGAAAGCGATTCTCCTGCCTCAGCCTCCCGAGCAGCTAGGATTACAGA